GTGACTGGTAACTTTCATCCTTCTGCCCACCTCTTCCGCTGTCAGCGCCGTCAGCCGCGATAATTCGCAATCCGTTGCAATAGCCAAGGTGCCATCCGCTGCTGCACGCGCTGCTTCGCAGTCCGTGTGAATGTGATCTTCGTATTCTTGTGGTCTGTATGCGCTGCCACGCATGCCCACAGTAAAGCCGCGAGCTCGCCTGCGTTGCGGTTTGGTGGCCTTTCTGGCTTTATAGGCGCGATTCCCTTTGCCTTGCCCGTCAGATATCCCAAGAAGCTGAACCCATCCACTGATTGCTTGGTGATAGCGATGGACCACGACATGTCCTCCGGCTTCGCGTCGTAGAAGCTCCCATCTGCGCATATGTGGATGATATCCGGCTGCTTCTCGTTCTTCGGGCACATGCGCATGGCAAGTTCCGCAAAATCAGGTAGTTTCACGTCGCCTTTGTCTGCCCTTATTTCCAACGGTTGCCGCCGACGAAGGCATTCGGCGAGCATCTCCGCTGGCTGGATCTCGCACTGTACCATCCGTACTTCTTCTGGTTGGTCTGGGTATTCTTTCTGTCCTCTGTGCTGCTGATGACCTCGGAGATGCCCTTCCCCCCATTCGTCTTCACTTTCTTTGCGCGGGCCCCCTCGGCCCCCTCCTTCTCCTGAGCACAGCTTCTTCGCGCCCTCCACGAGGCCACTCATGTTCCTCTCGCCGTCACCGCGGAGCCCCTTCCTACTGCTTGATCTATCTACGTCGAGGTCCAGCTGCCTCTGTCCCCTGACTGTTGCAGGTCGTCTCGGTGTCCTTGCGCGGTCGGGTCTGCTCTCGCGTCCTCCGCGCGGGTTGCCCACCGCGGTCGCGTCGCCGTTGCCCAGACCGTGAGGCCGAGAGGTTGTGTCCTGGATGTCGTCGATGCTGGTGCAGTACCCATGGCTCCCAGCCTCGTTGCAATCGTACTCTCCAAATAAACTCTTGCCAAAAATGTTTGTCGCCTTCGAGTTCTCTGTTGACGTCCTTGCAAACTATTGGTGAGCAGCTCGCTGCCGTCGAAGTAGCTGGCGATGTCGAGCTCGGGCACGCCGCCGCTCTGTGTCGCTGCTTTCCACGGTGTCAGTCTGAGCTTGCTCACTCGCGTGCCCCCTATTGGGGGCCGGCGTCTTTCTGTCCTGCCCCCGCGGACCCCCCCCCCCCCCCCCCCCATGATTGAGGAGGTCGGGGGCGGGCCCTAAAAGCCCACCTCTTGGGCAAGTCCCCGTCACCTTCCTCGCCGCCGTTTGTCTTCTGCCTTGCAGGTCCTCTTGCCGCGCTCTCAGCACTGTCTACCTGTCTGGGCGGTGTGAGTGCGAAGAAATGAGTCCTTGCCCTTCTCCTTGACTGCTTCTCCTGCTGCTGCCTCTCCTCCGCTTCTGTGTCCGCTGGCTCCGTGTCATCCTCAGCTTCACTGCTTACTGCGATCTGGGTGCGTTCTCCCTCTTCCTCCTCTTTCGCCTCTGGGTGTTGTGGGTCCATCGTGGCCATCTTGCTTATCTCCTCCTCTTTGCTTGTGTCGCCCCCCATGCTGCTGCTCTCTTCCTCTTTTGCATTCTCCATGTCCCCTTCTCCTTCCTTCTCGTTCGTCACGTATGTCTGTGACATGGGGGCGGCTCCTATCGTGCATCTGGATTCGTGGCCCGCCCCCTTCATTTCCTGGCCTTCCCTTGCTGTCTCTTCTTCTCTCCCCCTCAGCTCTTCCCCTTCTGCTGCCAGTAGTTGCGCCTCTTATTCCGCCTGTTGTTGCCGTCTCTCCTCCTCTTGTTTTTGCCTCCAGTACCACTCGTAGTCGTCTTCTTCACCCACCTCCTGATGCCAGTCTCTTGTTCCTTGTGTCTGTGTCGGGGTCCGTTCGCTTTGAGGCCTCCATCTTTGTTGTTCCCAGTCCCACCATGCGTCTTCCTCGTCTGAGTCTGGCCCGTGCGTCGGCATCGCGGGATGAAGCATCTCATCCGTCTGCTTGTCATAATCGTCTGCTGCCTCTTCGTTTTCCTGTTTCGCTTCTTCCATCTCTTGTTCCTCGGCTTGTCGCATCGTCTCCTCGTCCTCGAGCTCTCGCTGCCTCTCAATTTCTCATGTTGGACCTAGCTCTGGGTGTTTTTGTGGTCCGACGTTGTTTTTCCTTCTCCACTCCTCCTTATCTTCTTCCCACTTCCCCATCTTCTCCCTCCTCTGGCGCTGCTGCTTCTCCGCCTCTTCCTGTGTTCTTGCCTCCTCTGGTTGTTGCGCGAGCTCCTGTACTTTAGCATCCCTCTTTAGGTGTTCTCGCGCCGCACATTGTGCTTCTTGCCATTTATGTTGCCTCCACATGTCCCCCTGCAGCTGTCTCTCGGTTTCTTCTTTTTTGTTCGACTGATCTGCTTCACGTTGCACCTTTTCCTCCATAGCTACGTTGGCAAGTCTAGCGTAGTCGGCTTGTATGTTCTGCTGCCATCTTTGAGCTTGTGCACGCATGTCTTCGGTATCTTTTCTGAGCCGTTCCTACATGGCCTGTATTTCCCTCCTGCGTGCGTCTTCGCCCTGTCTCAGCCTGTTCTCCATCTCCTCCTTCTCCTGCCTTCTCTCTTCTTGTATATTTTCATCTGGGCGTATGCCTGTATCGTTGTGTCCTGCATATGTGTGTGCTTCCCTTGTTGCCCGTGCTGCTGCTGTTCCAGTAATTGCCTTAGCTCCATGACCTTCTGCGCATGTTCGTTGTGTTGATCTTGCCCCGCTGTTTCCGCAGTCATGGCTATTTTTATCGCTCCCTGTACCTTGTCCGCCATATCCTTGTTCATCTCGACCAACGGCTTGATATGCGCCTGCATATCCTCTTTTTCTTTTCTGTGTTCGTCCATCTTTGTCGCTCTTTTTCTCTCTTCTATTTTTCTTCTCTCCTTCTTTGTAATTCCTCCGTGATTGCTCTGATTATTTATTTTTATAATTCTTCTTCTTCTTCCATCCTCCTCCGATGTTCCTCCTTCTGGCGGTCCTTCTTCTTGTCCTTTTCTTGCTTCACCATTCTCGCTTTGTTCTCCTCTGCTTCTTCTTTTTCCCTTCTCCTGTGTTCCTCAGTTTCCTCGTTTTTCCTCCTCTCCTGTTCTTCTGCGTTTTGCTCGTCGCTGTCCGTGCTGCCGTGCTCGGAGCTGGATACGTCTGCCATCTCTAGCTCGTCCTCGTTGGCGATAGCCTCTTGCTCCATAAGGTACTTAATCGCCAGCTTCAGCTCCCTCTCCGTGTTCTGCATCTCTTCCTCTGTCTGTCTGTGCTGTTTTCTCAAGGACGCCAGCTTCCCTTGGAGCCGGCCACGGTTTGCACGGAGCTCATGCAGCTTCTTTTGGCAGGTTGTGTCATCACCATCGTGTGCTTCAGGGCCGCCATATCCGTTGTCTCCTGCATGACGTCCTGCTTGTCCTGGCGCTTCGCAGCTATGATCCCCGCCAAAATTCTCATCTCCTTCTCCGTCTTGTGTTTGAAGGCTCGCAGCATGTCTTGGTCCGTCGGAGGGTCCTCGTATCGTTTACTCTTTCTCGCCTCTCGGTCCGTCGATGGTGCCGTGGCCTTGATCACTTCTTGAATGGCCCTGTCCTGGTTCTTCTTTTTTTGTTCCACTTGGTGGTGTCGCCGTCTATCTCCTTCCAGCTTCGTACTTTGCCTTTCCGTGGCTGCCCACATGTACACCACCATTGGGTATCTGAGTTCCATACTCCACACCTGCTGTTCGTGCACTTCCACCCATGCCACGGCGCCTTCGGCATTGTGTCCTGGTTGATCTGGTGTTGCTGGTCCCCGTTGTACTGCTGGTTGCACTGGTGCTGCTGCGCCGAGTGGTGCCCCCAGAACAGCTCCTTCGCTGCCGCCAGTCGTAGTAGAAGTCGGGCTTCGCCACGTTTGTCCCTCAGGCGGCGGTGCCACGCTGGCTCTAGTGCGGCTGCCCAGCCGCGCGGCGTGCTGCCGAGGGAGCCGCTGCCGCGGCCGCGGGCGCCGCTCCCCGCGGCAAGGGGACAGGGGGGCGACGGTGGCCCCCTTGCCGCGGTATGGCGCGCGGCGCGCTTCAGCCCCGGCCCGCGGGCTGGCCGATCGAGCGCCCCGCCTACCGCACGAGCGATCGGGCGGCGGCAGGCGCGACCGACCCCGATGGATCGGTCGGGATCGGCGGGCCCGCCAGAGGCCAAATGGGTTTTCCTCCTCCTCCTCCTCCTCCTCCGTCTCCTCCTCCTCCTCCTCCTCCTCCTCCTCCTCCTCCTCCTCCCCCTCCCGGCGTCCCCAGACGTCGTGAGTTCGGATCACGGCGTGGGCTCGCAGAGGTCCCGACCCCCGTCGGCGGCAAGCGAGAGGGGGAAGTGAGAAGGGGCGGGCCTCCTCAAAAGGCTCGGAAGACCTCGGGTTTTCTGAGAGATCTTCCGAGACCCCTCGAAGACACAGGAAACTTCTCAGAAGGCCAGAGGGCTTCCTGAGAAGCCCCGCCGCCTTCTGAGCAGGCCTTTTCCTTCTCCCTTCCCCCCCTCGCTCGCCGCCAATTCTTCGTAGGCGAGTCCCAGACGGCCAAATCGGCCACAACCACAACCAAAGTGTTCATGTCGAGGTCGGTGGGTTCTCCCCCGAGGGGCCCTCGAGAAAAGTCCACGTTCTTGCGGCTGTGGTCCTTCGCTGTGCCCGGAGAGCCATAGGAGCCGAGTACAGGTTCGGAGCGGAGCCTCCGTGGACCTTCTCGCTGCACGTCTACCCGTGGCCGCCCTTCGGGCGGCACGGGCGGCAGCATGCGCCGAGCAGGTGCTGCGGCCGCCTGGCGACGCGGAAGGACATGCAGGCCAGGTACTCGACCCACGGGCATGTTTCTCCGTTTTCGGCCTCCAGGGGCCCTTACCAGGCCCTGGGACCATCAATGAACGACTCCCGGTGAAAAACTGGCCCCGGGAAAGGGTTCTGGATTTTCAGGGACCGCGTATTACAAACATAGGGGCATCGCATGTCTGGGGTTGGTTAAGTACCACTCATTTTTTGTTACGCAATCGGGGGAGGTCGGGTCACCCAGAAGAACAGAGCTCCTCGGGTTGCGCGTCGAATACACTCAGCGCCACAGACCATCCGCGGTATCCGCGGCTTGGCCTGAACAAGCGTCGGCTACACGCAAGAGTGACCCTGGGCAGGAGTGGCCCACGGTGCGCGGCTTTCCGGTTCCCACGTGGGTCCTCCCCCCAAAAGGCTGGGAAACCAAAAGGTACCGATACCGCGCGCTCTGACCAGAACTTCGAGGCGAATCCAGCGGTGGCGACGAGGGTCGTCCTTCAGGAGGCCCCGAACATGGGAAAACGAAGGAAGGGCAGCAATATCGGTGCCTTCTCCTCGTCTGCAGAGGTGCCTCCGGCGACGGGCCGCTCCTTGCAGCACGGCACAGTGCCCGCACGACGAATGTCCACACGAGGGGACTCAGCTGGGCGGGGCCGGAAGGCGCCCCGGGTCGCTCTTCTCGGGTCGGGCGAAAAAAGGGGGGATGGCAAAGCGGGGGGATGTATCGAGGACTGGGCCCCTCGGTGAGGCCGAGACTGGCCGCGTGCATAGCAACTTATGTACCCCCCCCCGATCCCAATCCCCCCCTCTTCGTCCGGCCCGATCTTCTCGGTAGCCGAACAGCTGGGGGGGCGGGGGCACAGTTCGGAGGGACCGGGGTGATACGTGATACTAAACAGCCGCAGCCGCGTGCGGGCAGCGCGGGGAGGCCCGGCGCGGCGCCTGCCTCCCTCACGCCTCGTGCGGCGGCTCGCGCGCGTTGCCCTCCAGCAGCGAGGTTATGGAGAAGGCGTTCGTGAAGTGCTCCATCATCTGGTCGTCGTTGCTGATGACGTGCTGGAAGCCGTGCTGCAGGCGCTGGAAGATTCCCGAGGGCTCCTCGGCGTGCGAGGCCAGGGGGCTGCCAGACTCTGACATGGAGATTTCGCGGCTCAACGAGCCATCCTGGTCGCCCCTGCCACCTCCAGACTCAAACGTCACCTCGCGGGTGATGCTCTCGACCGTGCGCTGCGGCTCAAAGGGTGCAAACTGCGCCTCTTCATGGAGGAGGATGTTGGCGAGGCCCTCACAGCAGCACGCCGTGAAGTGCAGGACCCCCAGGGGCGGTCCCAGCGGGATCCGAAGCACCCCGGTACAGAACATGATGGCGGCCTGGAGATTACCCTGGTCCTGATACGCCACCCGAGTCTGCAGGAACAGCTGCTGGAAGGGCGTGAACAGGCTGTCCACGACGAGTCCACGGAGGCCGAGCACGACGCCATCCAGGATGCTCTGCACCCTGCTAGACAGCCATTTGCAGATACTGCCCAAGACGGGCCCACGTGCTCATACATGAATGTGTGCCAGGGTGGACCCTAAACAGTGGGTTCTTGCTGTCTCACTGTACCTATGCGGTGCCATCTGTGGAGTGCAATCTGCGTGACGGCTGGACCCTAAACAGTGGGTCCTTGCAGTCTCGCTGTACCTATGCGGTGCCATCTGGGGGATGCAATCTGCGTGATGGTGCAATATGTGTGGTATCATCTATACAGTGCAATATGTGAGATGCCCCCGAGACCGCCAGCAGGACCCAAAGATGCCCAGAAACTCCAGGAGGCCCTCAAGAGGTTCAAATTAAGCCCCAAAAAAACCACAAGAAATCCCCCAAAGGCCCCAAACACCGCCAAGAAAACTGCTTACACTGCGTCATTCATTAGTTCTCCCGCGCGAGACGGCCCCAAGGCGGCCTCCGAGACAGCCAAAACGGCCTCCAAGATGGATCAGATTCCACCAAGAGGTCCCCAAGATGTCTCTAAGACGGCCCAACATACAGCTGTGATGACTCACAATAAGCCCAAGACGGCCCAAGACGGCCCGAGAGGCCCCAAAGAGGCCTTCACAAGGACCTCCAGGAGGCCAAAGTCATTGACTTGCCTTAGGTTATTCAGTGATTTTAGCGTTCTCGCCTTTTCGGTCTTCCGATGCTCCGAGACGGCCCCATAGGTCCCCAACTTCGCCCCAAGACGGCCCAAGAGGCCCCCAAGAGGCCCGCAAGACGGCCCAAGAGGGCCCTAAGACAGCCTGAGAGGCCCCCAAGACGGCCACATGGGCCTCCAAGACGGCCATCAAGGGCCCAGAGAGGGACCCGAGACTGCCCAGAGAGAGAGAGACGACGGGACCCACGACTGCCCACGGCCTCCGAAAGTCAAGAGGTACCCCAAGGGCCCCCAGGGGGGCCCCGAGAGGCCCGCAAGAGGCCCGCAAGAGGCCCCAGTAGGCTCCCAAGGAGGCCCCAGGAGGCCCACACGAGGCCTCGCGGGAGGCTCCCAGGACGCCCCCAGGAGGCCCCAGGAGGGCCTCAGGAGGCATCCCCTTCTCCCTCCGCCTGCTCCTCATGCTCCTCCTCGTTCCTCTCCCTCTCCCCCGTGTCTCCCCAGAGGCTCCTCCTTCTCCTACTCCTCCTCCTCCTCCTCCTCCTCCTCCTCCTCCTCCTCCTCCTCCTCCTCCTCCTCCTCCTCCTCCTCCTCCTCCTCGGGGGACGAAGGCCAAGGAGGAACACAGAGCCCAGCAGCCTGGACAGACCTCGGCCCAGCACTTGGCCGCATCGGCGCTTCCAAAGGCAGGGGGGGGGGTGCAGGGAGGCGGCCGAGGGGCCGTTCCTGTATAGGGGTCCGAAGGTGGAGGTGTGTTGTCCTAGGCACTGCGCAGCGAGCAGTGCGCCAAGGTCAGTTACCAATGCCTGAGCCAATACCGTTGCGGAAGGGATGTAATAGGGAAGTGAGCGGACTTCACACACAGGGGGCGGGGATGATTCGCCGTGGGCGTCTTCGATAATGGTTGGACGGTACTTCAGAATTGTGCGATAAGTTCGACCTGCGCGCGTGGGGGGACGCGCGCGCGTGGCCCCGATTGTTTTGTTTGACAAAACTTGGCGGGTACACGATGGCCCCAGGAGGGCCCCTGATAGCCCAAGATGGCCTCCAAGATCGACATTCTAGCCCAAGAAGGCTCACGACAACTTCCAACATGCTTCCAAGAGGCCCCAAGACCGCCCCAAGACGCCTCCAAATGACCACGGGGCCTTCCAAGAATTTGCCCGAGAGGCCAAAATCCGTCAACCACCTTGTGGTGTTCAATGTTGTCTGTCGTATCTCCGTTTCGCTTCCGACGCGTTCTGGTGGCTTGAGGATGGCTCCGAGATGGCGCAAGAGGGCACCAGGGAGGGCCCTGGGAGACCCCAAGACGGCCCCAAGAGGGCCCCAGCTAGCTATGTGTTCTGGCCCCGGACGGGGGGGGGGGGGCTGAAACGTATATTCCCCTCGTTTGATCGATGGCCTCCAAGAGGCTCCCCGAAGTCTACGTTCGCCATTGTCGGCCTCCTTGCTTCACGGTATGCTGCCCACCGCCCGCCCCTCCTCCAGACAACTCAACTGGGTATCGGTTCTGGGTGGGTCGCTGGGGAAGCGCGAAGCGCCAAACATTTCGCATGGACGATCGTGCAGAAGACGAATGAGAAGCCAATGCGCGGAAGCGGACCGTCAAGCCCAGCGTCGGCACAGGGCCGACTCTAATAATAAGAAAGAGAAGAGACTCTATGTTGTGCAACCTCGGTCGTGCAACACACGGATACAGGCTATGATGGGGAACCGCGCTCTAGACACCGACGTTTTTGCGCGGCCCTGCACGGACCTTTGTGCAAGAAAGCGGAGCCTGGTGTATACGGGACCCTGGTGTATACATTTTCCCATGTTTCCTGGGAAAACGGGGAAACAATTGTACCTACACCACCCCGACGTCGTCCCCGACCCTCAAATAGTCCTGGGATAATTGATGTACAGGCTCCAGTTTCCGATATGTGGTCAAATTCTGTGGTGGGGTGGAATGTAGAACAAAACTACGCAGTACAGGCAACGTCGCTGCGACATTTGGAGCGCAAGCTATGGAGTACAGTCTACGTAGCGCAACTGACTTTTACACATGATTTGACACATCCCATGCTCTTGCAAACATCCCACCCACCAACCTGCAAGTTGGTTTGCAAAACCTCTTAAGACCGTGACGGTAGGTACCACATGGCACTTGGCAACAACACCGGCGCCGACGACGACAGCGACGTCGACGTCGACGATGACGACGATGACGACGACGACTACGACGACACCGACGACGTCTCCGACGACTTCGACGACGACGACGACGACGACGACGACACCGACGACGACGACGAAGCCGACGACGAGGACGATGACGACGACGACACCGACGACGACGACGACGCCGACGACGACGACGACGCCGACGACGACGACGACGACGAGGACGACGACGGCGGCGACGACGACGACGCCGACGACGGACGACGACCGCGACGACGACGACGCCAACGCCGACGACGACGACGACGACGACGTCGCCAACGAAGACGACAACGACGAGGGAGGAGGAAGGACGACGACGGCGACAACGACGACAACGACGAGGGAGGAGGGAGGACGGCGACGCCGACGACGACAACGACGAGGGAGGAGGGAAGACGACGACGACGACGACGACGACGACGGCGACGAAATAGAAGGGACGACGACGAGACGCCGACGACGGACGACGACAACGACGACGAAAAGAGGAGGAAGGACGAAGACGGCGACAACGACGACGGAAACGACCACGACGCCAAAGCAGACGACGACGATGACGACGAGGAAAGACAGAGGACGACGACGCGACGACGACGACGAGGGAGGAGGGAGGACGGCGACGACGACGACGGCGACAACGCAAGAGTGCGCACGCACGCTTTTGTTGAAAATCCGTGTTGCGACACCTTATGTTTTTTGGACACACCTTGTTGTGTTGCGACACCTTGTGATTTTGTCATCCTTCCGAGACCGAGGGTTTTGAAGGATTTCGGCATGCGCGCCCGACGACGCGCGCGTCTGCACTTCGTCCCGATTTTTGCTGAGGATTCTCGCGACGGCACGCGCGCAAGGGTTTTCGAATGATTTCGACATGCGCACGCGCGAAGCCCTTTTGGAAGCACTTTTTGAAAATGTTGAAAAACCGATGGTCCCATTAAAATTTCGCAAGAGCGCGCGCGTAAGGTTTTTTAGGGAATCAGTGTTGCGAACCCATGTGTTTTTGTATGTTTTTTGGAAACTCGATTGCGAAATCCTTCCGGAACCGAAGGTTGTTGAAGGATTTCGGCAATGCGCGCGCGACGACGCGCGCGTGCGCACTTCGTCCCATTTTGTCGAAAGGAATTCTTGCAAATTTAAAAATTTTTGATAAACGAATGCGCGCGCAGTATTATTTTGCTGCGGACGGCGGGGGGGGGCGATACCAGCCTGGCTGGGATAGTACGAATTCATACTTAGGATGGAAGAATGTGCAGATTCATATGGGAATTGCAATACGAAAAGGTGTACCGTTAACTCTGGGGGGGGTGAGTGCATTCTTCTTTCAGAAAAGAGAATTAATGGCTGTTCGGGGTGAGTTGTCCACTCCACTGCCGCGCAAACATCCCACCCACCCACCCGCAACCTGGTTTGCAAACTTCGCGCGGCGGCGATTGCGATGAGTGTTTGGCGCTGGCTAGTGCATCTCTGCGGCCGCGTCAACCCGCGCATGCGCGCGCGCAGCGGCCAGACAGTTTGGCGCGACCGACGCGGTCGCGATGCTGCTGACCGCTCGGCACACCCCAGCGGGCACTTGAGTGCGAGTCGGCAATTTGGGTGGGCGCGGTATCATGGCAAAGTCGACAGTTGTAGACACGATGATGCTGATAGTAGCAATGTTGGTGACGATGCTGACAGCGACGACGGCACGGCCAGTGACGGCGCCGATGCCGATCACGCCGACGACGATGACGGCGTTCTCGCGTCGGTTTTGGAAAGAATTCGAAATATGCGCGCGCGGCAGACGCACAAGAGTGGCTCGCATGGTATTATTTCACACGGATCGTGCCACCCCATCACGCGCGCAAGGGCGTTCGAACGATTTCGACATGCGCGCGCGCGAAACCCGTTTGGTAGCATGTTATGAAAAAAAAGTTACACAACTTATGGTTTTCTTCAGAATTCGCAACAACACTCGCGCACGCGTTTGTTGAAAATCCGTGTTGGGGAACCATGCTTTTTACGTTGTTTGGACACTCGGTTTTGACATCCGTCCGAAACCAAACGTTTCTGAAGGATTTCGGCATGCGCGCACGCGACGACGCACGCGCGTGCACTTCGTCTCGTTTTTTGCAAAAAGGATTCTCGCGACGGCACGCGCGCAGGGGCATTCGAATGATTTCGACATGCGCGCGCGAAGCCCGTTTGGTAGTACTTTTTGAGAATGTTGAAAAACCGATGGTCCCATTAAGATTTCGCAAGAGCGCGCGCGTAAGCTTCTTTAAGACATCAGTGTTGCGAACCCATGTGTTTTTGTATGTTTTTTGAAAACTCGATTGCGAAATCCTTCCGAAACCAAAGGTTGTTGAAGGATTTCGGCATGCGCGCGCGACAACGCGCGCGTGCGCACTTGGTCCCATTTTCTTTGCAAGGGGTTCTTGAAAACTTAGGATTCTTGATAAACGAGGGCGTGCGCATAATTTTTGTTGCTGAGGATGGCCGGGGGGGGGAGCGATACCGGTCTGGCTGGGATAATACGAATTCAGATTTAGGATGGATGAGTGTGCAGAATCCTGCGTAGATTGCATTACGAAAAGGTGTACCGTTAACTCTGGGGGGGAGAAGAGTCTATTTTACTTCTAGAAAGGAGAATTCATTTCTGTTCGAAGTGAGTTGTCCACTCCACTGCTCGCGCAAACATCCAACCCACCCACCCGAAATATGGTTTCAAAATCCGTGTTGCGAGACCATGTGTTTTTGTATGTTTGTTTGACGCTCGATTTTGAAATCCTTCCGAAGGTTTTTGAAAGATTTCGGCATGCGCGCGCGACGACGCGCGCGTGTGCACTTCGTTGATTTTTTGGCACGGAATTGTAAAAAAAACTTATGATGTTGGATAAGCGAGTGCGCGCATAGAATTTGTTGCAGAGGATGGCGGGGGGGCGATACAGCTCTGGCTGGGATAGTCTGAAATCAAAGGTAGGAACAACATTAGGTCAGAATCATACGCAAATTGCCATACGGAAAAATGAATATGTAAGTCCAGGCGGAGGGGGGAGGGTGGTAGAACCGATCTTTTCTTTTTTTGAAAGGAAAACGTATGTCGTGCAATCGATGTGTCAACGCTGAAGCGCGGGCCGGCGCCCGAGGCGCCCGCGAAGCGCCCACGAAGCGCCAACCGACCGACAACCAAAGAACTGCAGACAGCGCACGGCGCGACCACGAGGCTCCCACGGGGCGCCCATTGGCCGAAAGCCCAAAACCGCTAGCCAATTTCGGAGGAGGAACAGGTACCCATACCTCTACCCCCTCGCCTGGAGGCCCTCGTCGCCACCGCTGGGTTCGCCTCGAAATCCTGGTCAGAACGCACCTCGGGAGAGGTCCGCGGAGTAGCGGTATCCGTACCTTTTTGTTTCCCCACCATTACTTACGATACGAAGCTGGGCAAGAAGCCCCTAGTGCAAGCAACACTTCGGGAAACAGTGCGGGGGGGAGTTTGGAGAGCGTCTAACTCGTGGGGGTGGCCCCCGCAGGGGTGGAGTTCGCACCCCATGCGGACCTGGGGCGTGGTGCGCTGAGGATCAGCTGGCGGATTGCATTGAGAGCCAACACAAGGCCGAAGATCGAGTTGCCTATGAGCTCAGCCATGGCCCTGTACGTGCCCTCGGAAATGCCGTGGACCATCGGCGACACCCACCATAAGATTGGCATATCTTCGGACGTTTGGTCGTGCGTGCGGTCTCGGGCCACCGTGCATGCGTCATATGGGCCTCGCACAAGCCACCAGATCGCATTGAGGACGCCCTTGAGCGTTGCGGCCAGGTAGGAGAGTATGATCGACCTGATGGCGTGGTACTGCACCGACCGCTTGTACTTATGCTTAAGCGCCTCGGCTAGCTGAAGAGGCGTACCAAAGCGATCATGAAGGTTGATCATGGGCAAACTAACATCCATGTTCGGCATATCCGCCGGCAGCCGCATTATCCAGCGGGATACCCTCGTGTTGTCCCTGACCGCGGCCTCGTCAGGGGTGCGTACCATGACTGTCAAGCGCAGCGGTTTGACTATCAGCTCCATGAGGCGCCACACCCCTTTCTGCTGGGCGCTGTCCTCGCCTGAGCTGGGTGCGACTGGCGGCTCCAGTTGCACCCGCTCGCTCTTCACTTTGCCGCCGAACGAGAGAAAGCTGCTCTCTGCCAGATCCGCTAACCGTAGCAGAACACCGATTTCCAGATTCAGCCAGTAGGGCACCATCTCGAGGCTCAGTTTGCGAATAATGCGGCTCGCTAGGCTTCCCTCGACCGATATGTGGATCGCCTTCTTTCCAAGATGCCGACTGTTGATGTGAAGAACGCGACGGTTTAGAACCACTGGCAGCTCGCCATCCACAAAATGATCCACCTGCAAATGCTGCACGGAGAGGGCCAGCGTGAGCTCGTCCGCGGCATTCTGCCCGACCTCTGCGTCGACACCCTTGACCCTCAGAGCCAACACCTCGGAGTGGCGGTGCACCCAACTCAGGGACACGTGCGGCACGGAAACGTGCAGCTTCCACTCGCTCGGTGCCGCGGACGCGAGGACGTTGCCGCTCCAGCGGTTGAGGGTGAAGCACTGCACCCCGTCGGAGCTCTCCTCGTGCCAAAGCTCCACCGCGGTCTTCAGCAGCAGCTCCTGGCCGGTGCGCTGCGGCGCCTGCGCAACATCCACGAGCTGGCTCCACCAACTGCCAGCTGACTCCAAATTCACAGGCGTCCAGCTGCCCTGCTGACCAGACACGTGCGAAACCTACCCCTGCGGGTCCACTTCAACCAAAAATGTGGGACTCGGAACTTGAAGGTTGGAGGCTGCTGGGGGGCCTGAACTGGTTAGGACCCGAGAACATCGGCCAGGAGGGGGGCGAGGCCAAATCCGCTCAAAATCGGTCCCCCGGACCACTCCCGGGAACCCATCTGAAACAGCGTTTCACCCCGGATCCGTTTCCGAGGGTCCTGGGGCCCGAAAACGGCCCCCAGCGGCTGAAAAAGGCAAGAAGCCCTCCTGCCCGCCCTTCCTGCTGGCCAGAAAACGTGCGGGGCCACCAGCAACCCCCCAGACGGGACGCCTGCGGCAGAGCGGCTCCCTGGAGGGGGGCCGAGCACGGCGCGCGGGAGAAGGGATGCGCGCAGGGCGAGAGGGGGGGGGGGCGCACCGAGGAGGCATCCCGCCTCTCGGCAGCCGCCCTGCCTCTTTGGGAAAGCGGGGGGGCCCTCGGCAGCCTCGAGGCGGGGGCCGCTCGCTTCTGGGAGGCCCCCCTCCGCCGTCATCAGATCATGGAGGGAGGGAGCAGGGTGAACAGATTTATCGCGGCCCTCTCGAGACACGCCAACAGGAGCCGCTGTCGGTTTGGGACAGCACTTGCTATAGGGGTTGTTCCGTACCCGTTGCGGGCGTTCAAACCCGATGGGGGCTGGGAGGCTTCCCAAAACCGAAGAAGAAACAACGGCACACACACACATATATATATATATATATATATAGATACACACATCTATCTCTCTATATATATATATATTCAACGGTCGGCATGGAATTTTGGGATCTGCGCTGGACCTCCCTCCCCGGCGCGTGGAGCGCGCCATGGGCGGCGCTGGAGGCGCCGCCAGGAAGGCCCAGCGCCGATGCAAGAAATCCGCGCGGACCGTCGAACATATACGCCCATGCCAATCTATCTTCGTCGACTCTGGAAGCCCCCGCGCTGTCATCAGGTTTGAACGCCCGCAACGGGTATGGAACAACGGGGTACGATGCACCATAGCAAGTGCTGTGCAAAACCGACAGCGGCCCACGTTGAGCAGGCGACCGCTGGTCTCAAGAGGACCACGGCCTCGGCGGTACCGACAGCGAGCCCTGTTCAAAATGGACGGGAACTCCTGTCGGCCTTCGCTCTGGGACACGCATGCCTCGAGTTTGGAGGACTCGGGTTGGCCTGACGGGGCCTTCAGGAAAATGGCGAGACGCAGCGTGAAATTCGACGCGAGCTTCCGCTGCAAACATCCCACGAAGACTGGGCCGCAACAACCAAGGACGGGCCCGTCAAAAGCGTCGGCAAACCCGAGTACCGGCGAAATCGAGTCTTACGTTTCCCCGATTCGCAGCTATACTTCCCGTGCCCATCTATCCGCGGCGCGCCCAGGGGGCAAATGAGAAGGAGAAGGCCTTCTCGGAAGGCTCGGAAGCCCCCCAGCCTTCTGAGAAACTGTCGAAGCTTTCCCCGAAGACACAGGAAACCTCTCAGTGGGCCGGCGGGCCTCTGCGAAGCCCCGCCGCCTCCCGAGAAGGCCTCCTCCTTCTCACTTCCCCCAGCCGCTCGCCGCCGAACTTGCGCTGCGAGCGTAGCGATCCCAGTGCCGGCCCCCCTGCCCCACCCCTGCCCTGCGGAGCGCTGCGGGGAGCGGCGGCGCCTCGGGACCCACGGGGGGCAGGGTTCGCGCCGTGGCCGCGGGCCTGCGCGCCGACGGCCCGGAGCTGCCAGCAGTCCTGGAGCATGGCGCGGAGTGCCTCCTTCGGGGCGCAGAAGGGCACATTGGTGCGTAGTACTGCGTGTCCCCCTTGAAGTCGCGCGCCCGACCAGATCACACAGCACAGCCATATTAGAGCAGATCGCTACCCCAGCAGTGTGGCCAGAAAGCGCCCGCCGCAGAGCGTATACTGCCGAGATTGCCGAGCGCGCGCGCACACACGTTGTATAAGTACGTAGCACTCCACACCTGCGGATAAGAATGAATGGGGGGTCGCGGGGTAGGTCGCGAATGGGTCGCGGACGGGTCGCGGGCGAGGACGACGACAACGCAACATTAACAATCATGGTAAGACTGTTCGCCCTCATCTGCTCGCGAGTCGCTCAATATTCCTCTTCCTATATTTTTACATGCCCGGGGGGGGGGGGGGGGGGAAACCATACCCCCCCCCAAAACTGGACCCCCGGGATCTGGGGTTCTCGGGCTCCCTTGGATGTCCTTGGAAAAGGTCACCCGGCTTTCCGGGTCTCCACAAACGCCTTGCCAGCAGACCCAGAGCGATCCGAGGGGTCATCAGAAAGGCTCAAGGGAGGCCGGACGGCCCAAGAGACCCCCAAGGCACCCCAAAAAGCTTTCCAAGGAGCCTTCAAAGCACAAAAATCGTCCCATTCCCTTCGTAAAGCTTACAAGGTTAGCATATTCGCCTTTCGGATTTCATCAGCTTTCAAAACGGTTTCAAAGCCCCCGAGATCGCCTCCAGACGCCCCAAAAGGCCCGCAAAAAAGCTCCAAGACGGCCGAGACGGGCCCCACGATCGCCCACGAGAGCCCAAGACACCCCATAATGGAACCAAGAGGCCTCCCAAGGGCTCCCAGCATAGACCCAAAAGGGCCATGGGAGGTCCCTGGAAGTGCCCAAGATGGGTCCAAAGGGGGCTCCAGCGGACCCAAGCGCCCCAAGACGGCCCAATAAGGCCCAGGACGGCCCATGAAAGCGCCAAAACGGCCCACGAGGGCCCCGCAAACACCCCCACGATGTTTGCGAATGCCAACGCAAAGACCCCCAAGGCACCCCAAAAAGCTTTCCAAGGGGCCTTCAAAGCACAACAATCGTCCCATTCCCTTCGTAAAACTTACAATCTTAGCATATTCGCCTTTCGGATTTCATCAGCTTTCAAGACGGTTTCAAAGCCCCCAAAAGGCCCCCCCAAAAGCTTCAAGACGGCCGAGCCGGGTCCCACGATCGCCCACGAGAGCCCCAAGACAGCCCCATAATGGAACCAAAAGGGCCGTGGGATGTCCCCGGAAGTGCCCAAGATGGGTCCAAAGGGGGCTCCAGCAGGCCCAAGCTCCCCAAGACGGCCCAATAAGGCCCTAGGACGGCCCATGAAGGCGCCAAAACGGCCCACGAGGGCCCCGCAAACACTCCCACGATGTTTCCGAATGCCAACATTCATTGATTTAGCTCCCATGGCATTTCATATCGTGACCCGGTCGTTGAGGGTCTCGTGGCATGCAGCGAAGATGCCCGAGGATGCCCCGTACGAGTTGCGTATGCATGTTCATACCCTTACACACATAACATTATATTTACATATGTACGCCGTATACACATACAACAATGAAAGTATATTGTATACACCTAGACATTTATACGGAACGTGCATGCACGCGCGCGTGTATACATGCAGGCGCGCATGTTCGCACGCACGCATTCCGCTTGCGTGCAGAACTCAAAGGACCAAGGTGCATGGCGCGCAGCGCCAATGCGTATAAACATATATATATATATATGTATATATACATATGTATATATACATATATATATATATATATATATATCGCAAACCATCAATACCCACCCTGTTCGTGTTCGATCGTATCCCAATTGGGGGCACATCTTCTTCATCCGCCACATGTAGTTGGCGCAGCCCGTAAAACAGGGAAAGGGAGGGAGGCGGGAAGGGACAAGGGGGAGGGAGAAGGACGGAACACGAGAGAGATTACCAGGAGGGGCATTAAGAGCAGGAGGACAAGGCAAAACCAGGCGGGCGGGTCGGGCGGGCGGACCCTATCGGGCGGGTCTGGCGGGCGGACCCAGACGACCTGGTCGAGCAGGCGCATCAAGCCTGCATGAATCGCGAGGAAATCTCCAGAGAGAGCGCGATTCGCAAGTAAATCGGAAGGCAGTGCAAAGCCAGAGCATGACTCCTGGGCGTCGAGGGAGCGGTATCCAAATAACTTGCGAAGAAGTGCCACGCGAGCGCGCGAGTGCTGCATACATTGTGAGGATGTCCCGCGCGAGAGCGCGGTTGAAAGTAAGCGGTGAGGAAATATTCGGCGGGAGCACTTGGATTCTCATTTCATAAAGTCGTTGATCCCCCCTCCCCAGTGTCGTGGATACTACTATTAAAAAACACTGAGGCGGGTGGAGGTCTCGAGGCTCATTTTGGCAGGTGATGCTGCTTTTCTCTCATGAACTCGAGCCGTAGGCAAGCTATGCACACCATTCGACAGGAAATTATCAGGAGCGCTAGTCTGAAGTATGGAGATTCCTGAGATCGGTCTGCTACCAGAGCTGCGACCGAAAAACAATTCGCACTCCGCAAATTCTGGAGGTGCATATTATGGTTGTCGGCTTTATCTCGAGATTTAGGGCATCTACAGACATTCGATGTGCTTAATAGCTTCAACCGTATTAAGAACATCAGTGTAGAGAACGGAAACGGCTGAGATCGTCCGCTCTGAATCTCGAGATCAAGTCGAATAACAGAGCGCGTGCCCAGAAAAGTTGCAGAGTATGAACAATTGTTTTAGTATACCTCGGGAAGCGATCCGATGTCAGGTTTTCATACCACGTAAACGTGAGCTTCTGATACTGCCGAACCTCTTCGTCTATATCTTATCTCTGTCGATGTTATGAACGTCGAGAGTGCGAACCGTTTTTCAGCCATAGCTCGGGTGGCTGACCGATCTCGGGCACCCCGCTGTTTTGGACTAGCGCTTCCCATGCTGCCGAAGCTACCGGTACACGCGGAGACCTCCGTAGCTGCTCCGAGTCTCGAGACGAAGCCGAACAGCCCAGCAGCTGCCCTAAAAAGTTGCCCTGCGCGGGTCCGTTATGCTTTTCAATTTGAGCGCTCCTCCCGGATCTCGCACCTTGTTTGCAACAGGGTAGAAAGTTGAGGCTCAGATTGTGCTGTTGCCGCCGGCTTACAACAGCCTCGCGATTCGCGCAGGACTCACGCTTTGCAACCCGCCTGCTCGACCTGGCCGCCTGGGCCTGCCTTCATGACCCGCCTGTTCGGGTTCGCCCGCCCGATCTGCCCGTCTGGTTCTGCCACGTGGTTTCTGCTCCTCGCCCCCCTTCCTCCTAATCTCTGTCGTGCTCCATCCTTCTCCCTCACCCCTGCTCCCTCCTTCCATCCGCCGAATAAATGTAGCAGGAAAGGAGAATATACCCCAAGTGGAGTGCGATCGAAGACGAAAAAGGCGCGTATCGAGGGTTTGGGGTATACGTTTTGAATAGCACGCGAGCAGATAATATGGCAGGGTCAAGCGGGCGGGTCGCTGAAGAGTCAGTCCTGCATGAATCGCAAAGAAGTTTCGAGCGATAGCGCGATTTGCTCAAAGCGAGAACGTGATTCCTGAATGTCAAGGGCGCGGCGATTTATGTTTGATTGCGAGGACGCACCGCGCGAGAGCGCAGCCGTTGTAGTAGTAGTAGTAGTAGTAGTAGTAGTAGTAGTTGTTGTTGTTGTTGGTGGTGTTGTTGTTGTTGTTGCTGTTGTTGTTGTTGTTGGTGTTGTTGTTGTTGTTGTTGATTTTGTGCTGTTGTTGTTGTTGTGGTTGTTGTTGTAGTTTGGGGGCCAGGAGCCCAAACTGACGCGCACGATCTCCCCTCGTAAAAATCAAGGTGCAAGCCCCAGGAGGAGCACATTGCATAGAACAAAACACAAGGCTCACCGCAGGGGGCGGATCAACAATCATTATTTCTGGGAACATGAAAATTCAACCACACAACAAGCAGAGTTCGACGGACAGAACGTCATTTCTGCCACGCACTCAGGGACAATGAATGACAGCCCAACCCCCTCCATCTGATGTTTGGGTGAAGTCGATCGTTTGGAGGCGGGCAGGAGGCCTGAACTGGTTGGGACCCTGGTAAATCTGTCAGGAGAGGAGGACGAGGCGAAGGCCGCTCAGAATCGGTCCCCAGAGCCTCCAGGGGTCCCATCTGGCCTAGTAAATCTGCCAGGAGAGGAGGATGAGGCCCAGTCCGCTCAAAATCGTTCCCCGGAGCCTCCATGGGGTCCCATCTGGTGCAGTGGCTCACCCTGGATCTGTTGTTGATGGTCACCGGGGCCGAGAACAGCCACCCGAGGCCGAATTGCTGGTGTATAAATCTAAGGTTATATAGATGTACAGAGAGAGGGATGGATATATATATATATATACATATATATATGTATATATATGTGTATATATACACGCATGCATACAAGCATATGTACATATACGTACATAGGAACATACATGCATGCATACATAAACACATACATTCATACCTTCATTCATTCATTCATTCATTCATTCATACATACATGCATGCATGCATATATATATATATATATATACATACAACAGCAACAACTTCTCGAACCTAGTACCTCGAACCTGCCTGCCCTTCCTGCTGGCCGAAACCAGTGCTGGGTCACCTCAAACCCCCAGCCGGCTCCAACGCTCAGCCCCCTCATCCTGATGCTTGGGTGGATCCGATCCTTCCGCGGCTGCCAGTCCCGCACCTCGACGATGGAGACCTCGGAGCCGACCTTGCCCAGCACGAACCGGATCTCGGGGGCGTCGATGGGCCCGAGCACCAGGCTCGTCGCCTCGCTCTCGAGCACCTGGGGGGGGGGGGCCAACGCCGCGGGAGCGCGGGGACTCGCCGCCGACGGGGGGAAGGGGCAACGTCAGTGGGACAGAGGCTGCGGGCGGTTCGCGTGCTTCCTCGTGCGCCGCGAGGCCCGAGGAGGCGAGAGAGATTGGCGTGAACATGCCGCTGGCTCGAAGCTCCGCGGGGACTTCGTGCATCGGCGCTGGGCCCCTGGAGCGCGCCGCGGGCGGCGCTGCAGGCGCCGCCAGGGGGGCCGTGTGCAGCGCCGATCCAAGGAATCCGCGCGGACCTCCGAGTGTGGCATGCTCACGCCGGTATCGTGCTTCTCGGGGGCACCGCCAGGGGAGCACAGGCTCAAGGGTCAAGGGGCCCAAGGACACACACATAAATACACACAAATACAAAGATTCCCTATAGTTTCCCATACTTTCTGGGTTTTGTCTTCCCGCCCAATTCCCATATTTTCCTATATTTTCTTGGGGATCAACAATTAATTGTGTCTGCGTGTTTTTTCCCCTCCTGAAAGGGGGGGGGCGCCTTGACCCCGAGACGCCCATTCGTCGCCGACGGGGTCCCGACAGCCCACCCCGCCCAGGAACGGGCGGACTCGCTGTCGGGGGCCAATTGCCGATCCAGTGGCGATGGATCGCCGGCTCCAGCTCGATGTTTTGCCCCCCCGAGCTGGTCCCCAGCTATCGTCACCCCGCAGGGGCGGGAGGGGGGGGCAAGGCCGAGTCCCACCACCACCGTGGCTTCTGCTGCCCCAGGACACCGCACTGCCATGGACGAGGATGCGCTTGACCCTCTTCGTGGAGACATCTTCTATGGCGATGATCTGCACGCGCATGGGCAAGAACATCCGCTTCGCGCACGTTCCAGGCCTTGCCGTGATGACCGAGCCCAGGGCCATGCTCACAGGGAGGTCTGGCGTCTCGTTGGCCACAGCGTCTCTGGCTTTCGGCTGGGCCAGGTCGTGGTTCTGGGATATCTCCAACAGAATCCGGTACAAGCTCTCGTGGTCCTTCGAGCCGCGCTCATGCATCCACTGGCTGGACGCCCCCAACACGTCGCCGGGCGGCCAGAGGAAACTGGCCTTCCGCTGGGACTTCTGGTGATCTCGACGCACGCCCACCATGAAGCCGTGGGGCGTCCGGTTCTCGACGTGGAAGAGGACGTCCTGCGAGCCCCGGAAGTTCGGGTCCCGGAAGACGATGAAGTAGCCGTCGACGAGCGGCGCCTGGCAGGATCAGTCAGCATCGGATCGGCACAGTGCGGACGCGGTCGCACGAAACCCTCGCAAGAAACCAGGCCCTGAAAATACCTGCGCGCGAGGTTCACCTGAAGGGAAGCCTGGAGCACCCTGAACGCAGCAGCTTCTTCGACGGCCGCGGGAAGTCACTACGCAGCGCGCGGAGCGGAGAAACCTCGGGTTACCCTGACGAAGAGCAGATGGCTTCTGGATGCGCGCCACCACTGTTATCGAATCGAATCGAAACGTGAATCGGATCGGGCTGCGTCGGCGCGGAACCGACGTCAAATCGGAGCCGCTGCACCAAGATGCACAACTGCGCCATGCAAACATCGGGCCGCATGTGATCGTCGGAATTGGGGAAGCCACGATATATCGATACCGCTACTCCCTGGACCTCTTCGGGGGCGTGTTCAGATCAAAGGTTCGAGGCGAATCTGGCGGTGGCGATGAGGGCCTCCCAGGAGGCCCAAAAAGGCGAAAACGAGGCAGAGGTAGCGGTATCGATACCGTTCCTCTGAGGTATATCGGAACTAAGTCGGATCAGGCCGGCCGAAATCGACGTCGGATCGGATAGATCGGATCGACATGGGCTCCAGCCCCTGGCCTGGTCCTTCGAGGGGAAGGTGGCCTGGGCGATGTCGACCCGCACGAAGCGCGGCGCGCCGGCAGAGCCAAGGGGATTGTGGGCGGAGCCGTCCGCCTCGGGGAGGAGACGGGGGGGAACGCCAGGGGGGACGGTCTGGCCCTCCTCCTCCTTCTCTTCTTCCTCCTCCTCTTCCTCCTCCTCCTCCTCCGCAGGCCCGCTTCCTCCTCCTCCTCCTCCTCCTCCTCCTCTCCTCCTGCCCCGAGCGGGGACCTGGCACCTGTTCTCACGGTGTCGGTGCCACGCTTGCGCTGGGGCGCACTGGCAGGCGACAAGACCGGTGGATGCGGGCACGGGAAGCCCGATCAGCGATTCCCAGACTTCTGTCGAAGTTCAAGTTCGCGAGCCGAAGCGCGTTCCGCTAACGCGCCGTAGTGGATTTCGCATTACTCCAGCCTCGCTGTCCCACAGAACCATCTCTTAGTGGTAAGGTTTCGATCTGTAACAAGCCAATCGTTGCATTTGTATTCGTAGCAGTAGTCGTGTTGATGATGGGGGATAGTAAGAGTCGTATTGGTACTGGTTATACTTGACAGCAGCAGGAATGGGAGGCAATCGTAGTACGAGTGGCAGCAGGAGGAGGAGGAGGAGGAGGAGTGGCACTGGTAGAACATGGCAGCCTCAACAGTCGGACTAGTAGTACGAGTTAAATGAATACTAGTAGTACTAGGAACAATCAGGACAGTGGTCATAATAGTATCCACAATCATGGACCGAATAATAGTAGCAGCAAGAATCGCCGTAGTAGGCGTGGGAGTCGTCGTAGTAGTAGTAGTAGTAGTAGTAGTAGTAGTAGTAGTAGTAGTAGTAGTAGTAGTAGTAGTAGTAGTAGTCGTAGTAGTCGTAGTAGTCGTAGTAGTAGTAATAGAAATAGTAGTAGGAGGAGAAGGAGGAGAAATAATGGTAGTAGTAGTAGTAGTAGTAGTAGCAGTAGCAGTAGTAGTAGTAGTAGTAGTAGTAGTAGTAGTAGTAGTAGTAGAAGTAGTAGTAGTAGTAGTAGTAGTATTAGTAGTAGTAGTAGTAGTAGTAGTTGTAGTTGTAGTAGTAGTAGTAGTAGTAGTAGTAGTAGTAGTAGTAGTAGTAGTAATAGTAGTAGTAGTAGTAGTAGTAGTAGTAGTAGTAGTAGAAGTATTAGTTGTAGTAGTAGTAGTAGTAGTAGTAATTTGCAGTAGCAGTAGTAGTAGCCGTAGTAGTCTTAGTAGTAAAAGAGCCATAGTAGAAGCAGTAGTCATAGTAGTAGCTGTAATCATAATTATAGTCGTTGTACTACTACTAGCCGTCGTAGTCGTAGCCGTAGTCGTAGTAGTCGTAGTATTAGGACTACGATTAGTAATCATACTCGTCGTCTTAGCCATACATTGCGTAGTATTGTTATTATTATTATTAGTAGTAGTAGTAATGATACTCATACTTGTAGGAGTAGCCGTAGCAGCTACTATTAGTAGTGGTATTGCGACTACTACTACTACTACTACTACTACTACTACTACTACTACTACTACTACTACTACTACGGGTGGTCGTCGTAGTAATGGTATTAGTGGTGGTCAACAATAGTAGTACATGCAACAGTCGCAGTGACATTAGTAGCAGGAGTAATGGGAGCCAGTGCCAGCCGAAGTAGTAGGAATGACATTAGTAGTAGCAGTAGTAAGATCCGCAGCAGTAGTAGTAGTTAATACAGATAGTAGTAGCAGTAGCAGCCTTAGTAGTACTAATATTAGTAGTCAAGGCTGCCGAAGTGGCCATGGGAGTCGTAGTAGCACCAGTAGCAGCAGCAGCAATAGTGGTAGTACTGATAGTAGCAGGCGTAATAATAGTAGTAGTAATAGTCGTGGCAGGAGCATTGGTAGGAGAAGCAGTCGTAGTAGTACTACTACAACTACTACGACTAATACTACGACTGCCACTAATACTAATACTACTACTACTACTACTACTACTACTACTACTACTGCTGCTACTACTACTACTACTACTACTACCTCTTCTTCTTCATGTACTACTACTACTACTACTACTACTACTACTACAACCTTTCCTACTACGACTGCTACCACTACTTCTACTATGCCTATTACTACTACTACTACTACTACTACTACAACTACTACTACTACTACTACTACAACTACTACTACGACGACTACTAGTAGTACTACTACTACTACTACCACGACGACGGCTACTACTACGACTAGAACCCGTCGTGGCAATAAAAGAAATAGTAATCGTAGAAGTGGCACACTGGTCGCGATACTACCTGTAGCCGTGGTAGGCATAGTGATCCAGGTGGTAAGCATGAAGTCACGGTAGTCTCAATAATCGGAACGGTCGTCGTGACAGCCGTAGTCGCAGTAGAAGAAAATAGTAGTAGTAGTAGTAATAGTAGTAGTAGTCGTAGTAGTAGTAGTTGTAGTAGTCGTAGTAATAGTAGTAGTAGTAGTAGCAGTAGTAGCCTTAGCAGTACTAATATTAGTAGTCAGTGCTGCCAAAGTGGTCATGGGAGTCGTAGTAGCACTAGTAACAGCAGCAGCAATAGTGGTAGTACTAATAGTAGCAGGCGTAATAATAGTAATAGTCGTGGCAGGAGTATTGGTAGGAGAAGTCGTCGTACTAGTACTGCAAAAACTACTACGACTAATACTACGACTACTACTACTACTACTACTACTACTTCTTCTTCTTGTACTACTACTACAAATTCTCCTACTACGGCTGCTACCACTACTTCTACTATGACTATTACTACTACTAGTACAACTACTACTACGGCGACTACTACTAGAACAATTACTACTACGACGACGACTACAACTGCGTCTGGAACCAGTCGTAGCAACAAAAGAAATAGTAATCGTAGAAGTGGTACACTGGTCGCGATACGACCTGTAGCCGTGGTAGGCATAGTGATTCAGGTGGTAAGCATGAAGTCACGGTAGTCTCAATAATCGAAATGGTCGTCGTGATAGCCGTAGTCGCAGTAGAAGGAAAAGTAGAGGAAGTAGTAGTAGTAGTAGTAGTCGTAGTAGTAGTAGTAGTAGTAGTAGTAGTAGTACTAGTAGTAGTAGTCGTAGTAGTCCTAGTAGTCGTAGTAGTAGTAGTAGTAGTAGTAGTAGGTTATAGTAGGTTATAGTAGTAGTAGTAGTAGTAGTACTAGTAGTAGTAGTAGTAGTAGTAGTAGTAGTAGTAGTAGTAGTAGTAGTAGTGGGAGTCGTAGCCGGAATAACAGTAGTAGAAGTAGTCGTCGTAGTAGTAGTCGTGGTAGTAGTCGTCGTGGTCGTAGTCGCAGTTGTAGTGTTAGGTCGGTAGGCAGATCGATATGGTAGGTATGTAGGTAGATAGGTAGCTAGGTAGTAGTCGTCGTAGTAGCAATAAAAATAACACAAGTAGTCGTAGCAGTAGTGCTTGTAGAGGTAGTAGCAGGAGGAGGGGCAGCAGCAGCAGTAGCAGCAGCAGCAACACACAGAAGAACCATAGACAACAAACAAAACACAAAAATCGCATGGAAACCATGTATGATACGTGCACAAACATGTACAAACCACATGCGAAGCAACACGAAACATATAAGAAACATATACGATATAAAGACAGACCGTCTGCAATACAAATACAACACTGTCACGCGACACGGAATTATACGCGAAGTATGCGGAACATACGTCTACGGGGCATCTTCGAAATTACGACTCGTCGTCGTCGTCCTCGTCGTCGTCGTCCTCGTCATCGTCGTCCTCGTCGTCGTCGTCGGGTCGCTGCTGGGCCGAATGCTGCCACAAATCCCTGATCAGGGCAACTCGACTGGTGATTGTTTTTTGGATGGGCTGGCGGGGATACGCGAAGCGGCAAGAAGTACACCTTGGTGGGCCAGGAAGCACTGACGCCCATGGAAAAAAGAGGCGGAGGAGAAGGGACAAAGATGAGGACGAGGAGGAAGTTGCCAAAAGCAACTCGTCCTCATCGGTCTTCACCCTCCCCCACGGTCATCATCCTCATCCTCGCCCTTCCTGACCATCCTCACATTTCCCTTCTTCCACCACCTGCTTACCAACAGCAACCTCACCGTCACCATCGTCGCCGCAATAGTCATCTCATCGTCATCCTTCCGCTGACCCCGATACCCAATACCTATTACCACCCCCATCCTTCCCCTGATGGGCCTGTTTTCCACCACAACCACCACCATAAGCTGGAGGGGGAGGAGGTCCTCCTCCTCCTCCTCCACCTCCTCCTCCTCCTTCTCCTCCTCGTCCTCCTCCTCGTCCTCCACCTCCTTCCCCCCTCCAACTTATGGTGGTGGTGGTGGAGAACAGGCCCATCTTACCCCGCTCATCTTCAACTCCATCCCGCTCATCCCGAGCCTCCAATTTCAAAGCGCGCGTCGCGCTTGTGTTTCTAGTGTGCAAGTGTGTGTTGTACCGGTGTTCCTGAGGTGTAGATGCGTGTGGTGCCTGTCTCTCTAAAACGTCGATGCGTGTCGCGCCTGTGTCTAAAGTGTAAGGCCGTGTCGTGCCTGTGTCTCTAAGGTTGAAATGCGTGTCGTGCCTGTGTCTGTAAGGTTTAAGTGCGCGTCGTGCCTGTACTCCATGTTGAAATGCGCACCGTGCCTGTGTCGTTAAGCTGTAAGTGCGTGTCAGGATTGCGTCGCTGATCTTTTTAAGTGCGTGTCAGGACTGTGTCTCCAAGATATAAGTGTGAGTCATGGTGTTGCCTCAAAGGTCTAAATATGTGTGTCACTAATGTGGATAAGGTGTAAGTGCGTGCTGGGGTCGTGCTTCCAAGATTTAAATGCGTGTCGGGGCTGTGTCTCTAAGGTTGAAGAAGCGCGTGTCAGGACTGTCTCTCTAAGGTTTAAGTGCGTGTCATGATTGTGTCTCTAAGGTGTCAGTGCGTGTCAGGATTGTGTCTCTGAGGCTTAAGTGTGTCAAAATCATGTTTCTAAGGTGTACGTGCGCATGAGGCTCTCAGAAGGAGAAGGAGGAACATGAGGAAAGGACGAGGAAGAAGAAGATTCGGCGTTTGGCCCCGTTCAGCCGGAGAACCATCCGATTCCC